AGAATGGATGAGGACTTCAAGAGAGCTTTGCACCCCCGGGCTCTCTGGCACTGGCTCAGCAGCCTCAGGACAGTTCACAGCCAAATCCCTTCAGCGGCACCGCGTCCCTGCGAAGACGGAGGAGTCCCGCAGCGGTGACAGCAAAGACCCAGCACCGCTCCCCGAGGAACCACGGTTTGCTGGTGTTCGCTGCATGCGGTGGACCAGGAGCCCGTGCCAGGGGAGGCTGCGAGCGAGGCAGCTTCACCCGAGCACCTTTTCCTACGTGCGCAGTGGCTCTTGCACCCGGTGGCCCTTGGGGCTCCCGGTCCCCACGGCAGCAGCGTGACCTTCACCGCAGCGAGTTTTTCCTTGGGAGAGGGTGGCCAGACACGGCAGCCCCAGAGGGGCAGCCGTCAGCAGCAACCCCCGCAGTAAACCGAGCGCGGCGGTTCCCGAGTGTCAGCGTCTGGTGCTTGCCCGCATGGGGCTTGTGCTTAGCTCATCACCCCCGAGGAGAAACGGACGCTCAAACCGCTCCTTGGGAGGAAAGCGCTGCTTCCTCATCAGCTTTCACCCCCCGGGTCCCTGGAGCTGTGATTACCTCCGCCACCTTCTTGCATCGTCACCCACCGCGCTTGCCGTGCAGCCTGGTGGCACTTGCCCAGCTGCCCACAGAGGGGCCAGTGTCCCTCCCCACGGGAGCCACGGCTCACCCGGCCTCTTGGGGAACGCGCGTTTCCTTCTGCATCACCCCACGCCGATTTGTCATCGCGCTCCCTCGGAAGATCAAAGGACGGCGCGTGTCCTTACGCGGAAGGTTTGGCTCCTGTTAACGCCGGAGGGTCATGGCACCTGCGACAGACAAACACGTCAGCTCTCTTCCCTGTACCCTTCCTGCCCAAGTCAGCTGGGGCACTCTTCTGGGAGCACAGACAAAGCCTTATCTCTGTTATTAGCTAAAAATTAACAGGATCAGCTTCAGTACTAACTGCCCGTTAAGCTCCCACGCTCCTGGATGAGATCAGACTTTGGGCGAGCATTGAGACAACACTGAGCGGGTTGAAACCAGCACCCCCTTCACTGAGAGATGGAGGCTTTGGCTGGAAACTGCTCTCCTTTCAGGAGCAGCATCTCACTCCCATTTTCTGTCCTTTAAGCAGTTCATTCCCATTCAAATTTAAACTATTTCAAGTAAACACAAGCGCTTTGGGTAAAGAGCTTTCCTTCAGAGGAGCCTCGCTTGCTACCTCTGCCAGCGGCTGATAAGGCCAGGCAGCTGCCTTGTCCCTCCCAGGAGCTGCACATCTCCCTCCATCCTCACACGCCGATTCCCCGGCACAACCAAAAAGGATGCTTTCCCAACAGAGCTGCTTGGGAGCCAACCCATCCCTTCTCGCCTCGTCGCTGGGAAGCGCCAGCCCGGCCACGGCACCTTTACTCGGGTGGGATGAGGGCAGCTGGGCCCGGAGGACGGAGAGGACCAAAGCGGCCCCTCCGGGGAAGGCCCCCCGGGCCCACCCAGCCCCATCCCGGGCGGCAGCCACCCACGGGGGCCCTCTCGTGGCCCGTTCCACACACGGAGCTTTCACACGAGGTGCTTTTTTTCCACCCTCGACTTCCATCTTTTCCCGACCCCCAAGAGATGCACAGCCCCGGCTCTGCCAAGGACCCCGCACCCTGCCCGCAGAAGGCTGTGGTACGGGGGGGCT